CTTTAGTGTCACATGATCCATCAGAAATGTAATCTAATGTTATTTCTTATTAATGTTGAATGTTGTGATGCTGAATATTTTGTTTGAGGAAACTGATACATTTTTCAGGATTCTTTGATGAATAAAAAGTTAAAAAGAACAGCATTTGTTCAAAATAGAAATCTTGTCTAACAGTATAAGTCTTTACTGTTACTATGATCAATTTAACACATCTTTGATGAATAAAAGTATTAGCCTAATTTGTTCCAAAAACAGAAAGAAAAAAATGCTGAGCCCAAACTTTTGTATGGTGGTGTATATTGTTACAAAATATTTCTATTTTGAATAAATGCTGTTCTTTTTAACTTTTTATTCATCAAAGAATCCTGAAAAAGGTATCACAGGTTCCAAAAAAAATATTATAATACATTAGCATATTAGAATGATTTCTGAAGGATCATGTGACACTGAAGATTGGAGTAATGACTGATGAAAATTCAGCTTTACATCACAGGAATAAATTATGTTTTAAAAAATATTAAAATAGAAAATATATTTTTTAAATTACAATAATATTTCACAATTTTACTGGGGGTTTTATTCTGTATTTTTTATCAAATAAATGCAGCCTTGATGAGCAGAAGAGACTTATTTTAAAAAACATGAAAATTCTTACTGATCCCAAACTTTTGAACATCAGTGTAGTTGGCTTTAACGTAACTAAAATCTACCCCCCAAATAACGGTCTTGGCTTTGATACTATTAGATACCAGTCAGTTTTAATAATATTGAATGTCCATCTCTGACTTATTTTTCTGCTTAATTTCTTCCAGGCTGCTTGCAATGTCAGGGTTTGACAACTTAAACACAGACTTTTACCAGTCTAGTTACAGTGTAGATGATCAGAACCAAGGAGGATATGGCTACAGCAACACAGATGACCCATACAGCAAGTAGGCCTGAGCCTTGCACAAAGTTCTGATGTTATTAATATATAGCACTATTTAACAAGTCAAGTCAATTTTATATGTATAGCGTTTTTCATGGTACACATTGTTTCAGAGCAGTGAGTATACTGTATGTATGTGCATAAAGTTGGATATACGTGTCCATCTTTATATTTAGAGCTGTGAAAAAATTATGTTTACATTTTGTGGCTATATAAACAATCACACAGCTGGGATTGTGTACGCTATGTAGTGTGTATGCAGGTAAAGCTGGATGTAGTATATATATCCAACATTAAATATATTGCTGGCCGATAGTATACAATGCTTTAGAGAATAATCAGTATATCGTAATGCATGCAAATCAATGTATTCTTATTTCATGTTTGCAGTAAATTAACTAGCCTTATTTGTATCCTAGCTTCCGTAGGCTCTAGATGTTATATGTCTGTCACCTAATTATGACTATAAATCTTTTCTTGCATCTGATAGACAATACGAACAGTATGACTACTCACAGCCGATGGGCTACTCGGCGCCTCCGGGAATGATGCAGCCCCAGCAGCCTTACATGGGGCAGATCTACCAGCCCACGCCAGCCTTTACGCCAGCCTCCCCACAGTCCATGTACGCTAGCAGCTTTGAGGATGAGCCCCCGTTGCTGGAGGGTAAGAGACAGAGACTAAGCTTCAAGTCACCTTTATTTATATAGTGCTTTATACAATACAGATGGTGTCAAAGCAGATTTACAGTGTTAAACAGGAAAATAGTGTTTCGGTAATGCAAACATAATTCAATTCTGCTATGAAGCAGCTCTAAAAAGAGAACGGTAGTAAACAGTCAATTTTTCTGTTCAAGTCAGTTCGTTGTTGATTCAGTTCAGTTTAATAATTGTGTAACGTTTTGTGCTTTAAAAACTAAAAGTGTCACCTGGGGTTGTGTTCAGTACAAACCGCATCTGTGTCCTTGCATACTGAAGTTAAAGGGTTAGTTCACCCAAAAATGAAAATTCTGTCATTAATTACTCACCCTCGTGTTGTTCCAACTTGTGGACGAGTGTGGCGGCGCTGACCCAGATCCGGCGTGATGATACTGTCGTGAATGCGCATCCACAAGTGACGCAGTAGAGATGAAAATGTGGAATAAAGTCGTTATTTTTGTTTTCTTTGTGCAGAAACCTACTTGCCCCAGTTCTTCAGAGCTGTGCTTAAAATGGACCAGCAGTCATCAGTCAGAGAGACGCAGAGAAAGCCACTTAACCGATTACTGCTGGTCACTGTTGTCTTCCTGTATCAGAAGTGCATTTATCATGCTTTGTAGTAGTGTTCGACTTCAATTCTGTCCTATAATTCTAATTTTCTAATTTTAGTTTTGCTCGCTAAGGCAAGCATCACTGTTAACCACTATTAACTTTACTCATTATCAAACAAAAAAAAGCAGTGAAGCAGTTAAAGTGTTATTAAAATGTGAGTTTTGTCTGGCAAATCAAAGTCATGTACATGTAGGGGGAAATGCATAAAACAAGAAGTTATATCTATTTTATCAGATATGGGACTACATTTGATTCACAAAAATGTAACAAATTCACAAATGAATAGAATGAGTGTCACAAGTATATGTTAGGTGTTTTTCAAAAAATGAATTCAATTCACAATTAATGAATTAATGTGAATTAATGTCATAAACACAGCTCTGGCTTGCATTCATTTGTGCATTTTAGTATGCATTTGCAGATCGCTTCTTGTCCATTTGTGAATCACTGCATGCAATTTGTGGATTTTGAAATATCAAGACGTGCACGCAAATCTCAGTTGTAGCTTATTGTAGCTTCACACAGTTCCGTTTTGTTTTAAGGCGGGAACAGACTTCTTGCGCCCATGACAAGAACTGAATTCTATGAGCTATGGAGCTAAATGGTTTGTGGGGTTAAAACACACCGTTTTATGTGAATTTTTCCTTTGTATTTCTATCAGAATCAGTAAATCGGGATAAACCAGGATTATACACACATTTTGATTGTTTACAATTTCTTCTCGCATGTTTGTCACAAAATTGACCATTTACTTATGATCCAGCTACTTATTGAGGCTTTTCGTTCCATCTTGAATAATGTGCTTCCATGATGTATCTGTATCCAGTATCGAATTGTTCCCATAACAGAGATGTAAAGCTTAGTTGTAGTTTTTTTTTTTTTTCTGTGCCAATTATTATGGACCCTATATTTCCAAATTAAGCCAATGCAGATGACTATTGACTAAGCAAAGTTATTTCGGGCCAAGACATGTAATTGGTTGGAGTGAGAACTTCTTCAAATTTGTCATTTCAATGGAGTTATCTGATTGGCTCGAGTAGATGGTGAGTGGAAACAAACTAGATTTGTGTGCAAGTCTTGATGCTAGAAATGTTTCAAAGTCCAAATGAGTGTGGAGATAAAAGCACAGGAAGCCGTCCACAATTATAAAGGAAGCGATCACAAAAGAATGGCAGACATGGTTGTGTTTGTGACAAGCATATTTGTTAACAATAATTATTATTAATATTATTTTTAATGTGAATTTCATTTTATTGTGAAATTAATTCACTTTTGTGAAATTCCTAACATATATTTGTGAATCATATTCTGTTTGTACATTGGATGTTGAATACACTGCCTGAACAAACAGATCAGATAATTGTTTGGAAAATGACAGTGTGGACACTAAGATATTTTGGTGTTTTAATTTGTGCTACAACACTCTAGCAACCATATAGCAATGCCTTGCTAACCATCCACAATATAGTACAAGGGTTCCCAAACTTTTTTTTTTTTTT